TCAGGCCTGAACAGGATTCAAACCCATGACCTCTGCGATAGGTCCCGAATCAGGCCGAATTCGGGCTGAATCCCGGTCAGGCCTGAATGTTTTTCAGGTTTTAATTTCACAACTGCTTAAGTTGTGTATGTAACTGCGATGATCAATCATGTCTTCATATGAAATCTATCTTGCGAGGTGACCATTTCCGTACAATCACTAAGGGATATAAACTACCGTGAGAATCAAGAAAAAAGATAAACCATTAGGACCAGAAAGGAACTCAGTTGGCACTATGAGAAGTTGTTTCCAACGCTTCCCTTCTCTTATCAGCCTTCTAAGCAGCCGTCACAAAATGCTTCCGGCTCTTTTTGGGGAGGAGAGTTGCGTGACAACCGGAATAACGGCTTTGCAGAGCATATGCTTTCGCGCGTTCCAAAGCTTTTTCCCTTATCGTCCCTCCATTGGTGGCGACGAATGCGCGTGCAGGCTGACTCATGGCTGTAAATGGAAGAATTGCTTTCTCATTCATTCAGGCCTGTGGGGTCTGGTAAACAACGCTGGAATTGGTTTCTCTGCACCAATAGAGTGGACTCCACTGGAAAAGTCCAAACACATTGCTGATATTAATATGTGGGGGATGATTGACGTCACAAAAACCTTCCTGCCGCTCGTCAAGAAGGCCCGGGGACGAGTAGTTAACATATCGAGTGTAGTAGGTGAGTGTAACGTTATCGTTTTAATTCGTTTTCTTTCCGTTATTGTTAAAGTTAAGAAAAATTAAACTTTACAGTGTACTAAACTAGCTTTACGTTTTAACGATGTCTATAGTTTCAGGACAAGACACTCTAGCATGTTCAATGAAAAAATGAAATTATAGAAGTAGTGTCTACCACTTATACCTGGCCTATATTCCCATAGAGAGTTTAAGAAGAGAGTTTTTCGTGCAACATGTCTACCAGTTTTGTGATCTACACTGCCAAGAAGTTTTATATGTTTATAATCTGCCCTGTGCTAATCTTCTCTCTCCCAATGCAACCCCCTTTGTTTCTTTATCCCTAGCATTTCTTAACTGACAAACCGTACAAGTTATCTTAAAATTCAGCTTCGAGAGTAAGTTTACGAGACATTACCAAATATAAAATATTTTCGCATTATTACAGGTCGTGTTTCACCTCCTAACACATCTAGCTACTGCGTCACCAAATATGGAGTACAAGCATTTTCCGATGCTTTGAGACGGGAAATGGCCCCTTGGGGAGTGCAAGTCAGTATCATCGAGCCGGGTTTGTTCAAAACCGCCTTAGCAAATGAAGAGCGTCAGATCCAAGTTTTGCAGGAATTTTGGGATGGCCTCAGTCTGGAGTTAAAAGAGGAATATGGAGAGCGAAAACTAAATCAAGGTAAGATCTTATATTGAGACCACTGAGCCTCGCTTTCCTTTTGTATAAACCTAGTGTGTTTCACGATACGCGCCTCCCTTACATACTAAACCGGACATCTTCCGCTGCTGCTCTAGCTGTTCATTTTAGGGGTGTCCATTTGAGAAAATGGTGTCTACTCAAGAGATTATCTTGACAAACATTTGTAGTTCGTCTGGTTATGCGTTTTTAGTATAAAGACGGGCACAAGACGTGTTATGCGCCTAGACGAACTATACTTCGAAATTCGTCTTGAACGACGCACTACGAGAGATAGTTCGTCTAGACGCATAATACGTCTTGTGCCCGTCTTTACACTAGAGAAGAATAATCAGACGAACTGCAAATGTTTGCCCAAGTTCGCCTAGACGGATAATGCGTCTTTAGTATAAAAACGGCCAATCTCTTGGTCTACACCACTGATAGTGCGCTCGCACTACAGTTTCAACTCGTTTGACCGCAGTATCGCGAACTCTCTACCGGACATCCTCAGAAGCAGCTCTAGCCGTTCAGTTTAGAGAGGAGTCAGCATTAAAGGAAGTTCAGTGAAGCAAGTGAATTTCAGTCGGAGCCAATATTGACACGGCCGTGCCTACCTTAGGACGACCTCTGGTTCCAAGAGTCTGCCTTAATTTGTGATTAGACTACGCGTTTATCAGCCCGGTGTGAGCACATCGTAAGGCTATAAGGCTATAAGGTTGATTGCCTGAGCTAACAGATCACTGAGTTTCTTAATTGCATTTCTTTTCACTTTTTTCGACAGTAAAACAGGGTGTCAGTAAATCCTGCAGGATGGCTTCTTCAGAAACTTCTAAAGTTGTAAACGCTATAATCGATGCCCTGACTTCGCAACGACCTCAAACGCGCTATTCTGTTGACCTTGATGGAAAACTGTTTATCTTCATTTCATTTTTGCCCACTTTCATCGCTGATTTCTTTTTCCGAAATGTCTGAACGAGAAATATGCTAACGTGCATTAAATGGAGTTATGAGCTTATTTCTTCAAGCAATTGTTTTTTTTTATTGTTTATTTCTCATTGAGTTAGCTTTGTATTATGTATCAGTAGCCTTGGAGTAAATCGCCAGATTTCAGAAGCGACAAAACTTAATTTTCACGCACTTTATACTAGCAACGAAACAATGGCCGTTTTTATACTAGAGGACGCATTATCCGTCCAGAAGGATAATGCGTCCTCGCCGTTTTTATATTAAAGATGAATTATCCGTCTGGACGAACTTGGGCAAACATTTGTAGTTCGTCTGGTTATGCGTCTTTAGTATAAAGACGGGCACAAGACGTATTATGCGTCTAGACGAACTATACCTCGAAATTCGTCTTGAACGACGAACTAGGAGAGATAGTTCGTCTAGACGCATGAATACGCCTTGTGCCCATCTTTATACTAAAGACGCATAACCAGACGAACTACAAATGTTTGCCCGAGTTCGTCCAGACGGACAATTGGTCTCAAGTATATTGTACAGATATTCTCTGCGGTGTATAATGATATATTATTTCTAGTTTTTCAGTAATGTTTTTCCAGTCTCCCGATTCGCGGCAAAATGTGGTGTTTTCCAAGTCAGAAATTTACCAAGAATTATTATGCGCGTGCATTCTCTATTTATATCACGAGAATTTAACCCTTAAAAATTGAGTAAGTGTAGTCAGGAGATGACATAATCGATAAAAGTGCCGTTTTTTGTCACTGACTTGTATATATTTTAACAAGACGTTTCGGCTAACTCTTAAGCCTTTATCCAGGGCGGAAACATATAAGCGCCCTGCTTCATCAATTGAGGAACCGCTTGATGTTACGCGCGATTTAAAAACTTTTTAAAACTGAAACGTTACGCGTGCTTTATGCGCGTGACTCGAGAGAATTTTAAGTGCGTGCTAAGCACTTGTAGACTTCAGGGATAGTTAATTATAGTTTGTAACATTACTGAAACTATTCTGTACAGACATAAATTACTTACAGAAACACGCCCACTGTTTAGAGGACCGAGGGCCTCTCAAAATTGCAAAATACTTTATAAGCATTGTGTGCATAACGTATATAGTGCTGTGGGTATTGATATGAGAAAATAACGTATTTGGGCCTTAATTAATGAGGATATTTAGCCCAAAAGCTGAGCAGAATTAAACAGGATGAAGCTAACCCATCATGAGCATATCAACGTAACGTTGAATTCAGTTTCGAAATGTAATATCTCTTACTAACCTCGTTTTCTCGGTCCGTACTGTAAGTTACGGGCCGAGCTTTTTCCCCTTCGATTTATGGCCCAAGCGCGGGTCATAAATCGAAGGGGGCAAAAACGAGGATCCGTAACTTACAGTACGAACCGAAAAAACGAGGTTAGGAAGATATTTATTATATCTGTACTGTGTGCCTGACGGGTTCGGAATCACGCGGACTCGGAAAGGCTTCAAATTTCTGACGAACCTCAAAAGCAACACGAGTCAGTTTGAAACTGCTTTTAAGTCGTCAGCACGCTTTATTACATAATTTAGAGTATAAAAAAGTTTTAAACTTTCACTTGCTATAAAAGTTAAGAACACTCGTCGATAAATCGCGAAACAGTTTGGCAACAAAACCAACTTTAAATTTTAGCGGGCCGTACAGGAGAGTACGGCCTGCTAAAATTTATTTATTTATAATTATGATCTTGTAAATTCTTTTAGTTGTTTACAGTAGTAGAAATAAACTGTTGTTGTTGCTAAACTGACCAATCACAGCTCGCGTACTAACTGAGAGATATAATAAAATAAGTTATCAATACTGTTTTTGACTTTGGCTATAAATTTCAAAATATAACTTGAAAGCACTTCAGACTAAAAAAGTTTTTTACTTGAGCAATAAAACCCTAATGAATATTTCATAACTCTCTTAGCATGGGTACTTTTTACACGAACATGATGTATGACACGCGAGATGTCTTCACCGTCTTGAACTTGGCACTCACGTTTACGCTTCGCCCTATGTTGTAAACCATTTCTCTTCAGCCGCCTTTCTTGAAGCCTAGCTTTCATAGCTGGAGAAGACTCCGAGTATGCCTCTCTTGTTTGGGTTTCTGAGACAAGCAGGGGTGACAAACGCACCAACGAAAAAACAAACGCAAAATCGATACAAGAGAGCAGAGAGTAACTTTGCCAAAAGAACAGCGCGAGGGGAAAAAAGGGAAGAAGGGCAGCCTATTGTAGGACAACAGCAAACTGAACTTTTACAGAATACACGCGAATGTACTTTTAAAGTTTAATGCAGTATATAGAGCCAATTTGATCGGGCCATGGTTTGTGTTCCGTGTGCCAAAACGCAGTTGAACTGATTCGGCCAAGAATTCGACAATATTAGTCAGCGAGTGGACAATCGCGGGAAATTTTCCTGGTGTTCCCGCGATAAGACAGCCTGTTAGCACAGAAGAGACGCCCTCGCATTGGTTTATTGCGAATTTGGGTACGGCCAAGAAAGAAATTCAGTCTTTTGTCAACAAAAAGCACGTCGGTAGGCTTTAAAGCGTGCTATTTACTTGGTGGCAGAAGCACGTCCGCAACATATCAGGATAACCAGCGATGTTTACAGAAGCCGAGCAGAACTTTCGTTTTGCGTCTTTGTTTGTCAGGGGTTACATACACTGTTTGTATTTTAAATACACTGAAAGGCATTTGACTGTGACTCTTATTTGCCCTCATTCGAAACGTCTGATCGTGTTCAATCGGTTTTTTCTTGAAATTCCACGAAGAGCAAGGGCGGCCTACAATTTTGCCGGCGGGCAACGTCTACCAATATCATGATCATCATCAATGTCAATACCGATCAGATATCGCTCATTTTATATACTGAAGAAGGGCGGCTAAGCCCGCAGGCCAAACGCTTATGGTCAACCAGCTACTATTTGACAGTTTCAAGAGCCCTATATTTAGTTTATCGTCATAGTGTCACGCATTTTGTGAGTTTTTGCTCATTTCTGCTGATCACTTAGATCTATCTGTTATAGTCATTTTAGACGCTTATCACAGAGTGGAGGAGAATTTCTCAAGTTATGTTGCTAGTTGCTATCGCGATAGCGGTGGTTGCATTTTCCACGCTTTTAATCATTTTGCGATTTTCGTTGACGACAAACAAAGCCAATTTGAATGTAAAAGGAAAGTTTGTTCTGATAACGGGCTGCGACTCGGGCTTCGGTCGTGAAACAGCCATTAAACTGGACAAGATGGGTGTCTGTGTGTTGGCGACTTGTTTAACGAAAGAAGGAGAGCAAAGTTTAAAATCGGCGACGAGCGATAAATTGAAAACATTCCAGATGAATGCGACAGACTCACAACAGATAGAGGAAGTCTTCTGCAGAGTGAATAAACTTCTTGGTGGCAAATCAGGTAAGATTGAAAACTTTTTTTCGTATGGTAAATCTTTTATCCGTTGTTGCATCGCAATAATTGGACAACGCAGCAAACTGTTTTGCTTGTCAAAGTTTTCATACTTTGCATGTTAATGCACCACAAGAAATAGGCGTCTGTGTATATAAACGAGAGACGATGATAGTCTCTTAGCATGCATAAACCAGTAATTACAATTACCATAAACCATGTGAGTTGTGGTTTCGCTAAAATTACATCATGGCACAAGGAGCAGTGTTTATTTGGAAATCAAAAATTTCCCCTACGTACCGTATTTGTTGATTTATCAAGCACGGTTTGTAAACTTTAGAGGTGCTCAAAAGGAGGGGGGGGAGCACCGCGGTCAATTTGGACTCTACTGAAAGGGGAAGGGGACAAAAATATTCGGACCTTCACGGCAGCTTGTATTTTACTCCCCGTCCTCCCCGTCCCCCTCACTTCGATCCGCCGGAACCATAAGATAGGTAGCGACGCAAAAGGGCTAAACTATTTCGTGCTCTTTTTTCAGTTTTCAGTCTATTAGTCCTGCCATGTAGATCGCACCCATATGCAACTCAACGTACGTCACATTGATCAGTCTAATTTAATTTTCTTTCCAAATCCCCGCCGTTCACTTTCCTCATCTCCACGTTCCACACGCCTTACAGGCAAGCTACAGCCTGTTATAGACTGCGAGCAGTCTCTCTTTTGCTCAAAAAACCCGCGGGGAAGAGCGCAAACGAACAGAGGCAAGCGGCGAAGCCTCGAGCCGCGAGTAGCGCGGGCGTCGCAGAAGACGAGCGAAAAGAGACACTGCACTGGTTTCGGCTTTTTCTTCGGGTAGAAGAGCATAGAACGCGTCATCAGAGAGGATTGTAAAATCAAGAAATTATACCATAATTATTGCATGTATTTGGATAATTTTGACCGCATAATAAGGGCACATAAGTCCGGCTTCATAATTTTACTCCCTCACTTGTGAGAGTCCGAGTTACTGTGGCAGTATGGAAGTCTGTTAGTGTGCATTTGGAAGTGTAGCAGTCAGTTGGAAGTCTGGAAGTTTAGCAGTGCAAGGAAAATATGATGATGTAATGTGGAAAAAAATTATTGAGATACCATGAACCAAATTAATAGATACGGCTATAAACAGAACTGTTATATATTTTACAAAATATTTCAATCAAAAAATATATCATTGCATACAGTATCAAAAACACTTTTACACTCAGTCTCAAAACAAAATTGGAAAGTCAGTTTACTTATCACTTGATTCGGTGTATAGTAATTTAACCACAAAATATACAGTATGAATAAAAACCTCGAAACACCATAACAAGGTCCTTCAAGAAATTTACTGGTAATTTCTTGAAGCATATCATAGGACCAGAAACAAAACTGTTATTGTTCGGTATATGCAATAGACCATTTTACAGTTGTCTGTTCAGTGACCTGGCCTTTGTATGGCAGCGAGGCTAGAGTTGACCTTGTTTTGATACAGACCTCACTGCTTTT